CGTGCGTGCGTGCGTGCGTGCGTGCGTGCGTGCGTGCGTGTTAGCGCGCACCAATCTCACCACGGAGATGAAAATTGCTCTCTTATTTTAATTGTTTGTTGTGGCGGCGCAATTTCCAAAGCCAAAATTAAAACGCGTTATCGAAAGCCAATAGTCACGTGATCTTTGTGCTGCGAATGCGCGCGCGCGCGCAAGTACGTGTGTATATATTAGGTTTGTCTGTGAGTGGTGCGGGGTTGTCATGTAGGACCATAAAATTATATAGTTACACCGTTTATGCCATTTATTACGTATCATGTATATATATATATAATCACCTAAATCGCATTTCGAATACATCTACCCGCGCCTCATATTGGTTCTGCGGCGTTGCCATCTTCTTTTTCTTCTCGTTCTTCTTCTGCTTCTTCTTCGCTTTCTTTTTCTTCTTAATTCTTCTTCTTCTTCTTCTTCGTCTTCTTCTTCTTTTTTTGTGTCTAGCTTCTTCTTTACCTTCTTTTCTTCTTCTTTATCCGCCTCCTCTCCTCCTCCTCCTCCTCATCCTCCTCCGTCTTCTTATTCTTCTTCGTAGTCCTATTCTTTTTTCTTTTTTCTGTCATGCTATTATCGATGTACATTATAGTTAGAATATTTAACTAAAACAAATTTTTTACCTAATTTAACAGTTATAACCTGTAGCTTTAATCACGTATATTACTATAGCTCCTGTTGTTATTTTCTGAATATTTAATTATATAGTATATAGTATATAAAACCATGCAACTGTTCCACACACTGATTAGTTTCCACACACCATAATATATGATAACATTGTTGTTGTATATATTCATTAACAATGTTATTAACCCTATCATGTACAGCTCAGTGCATGATACCGCACGCGCATTTCTTTCAATTCTGATTAGAATTGGCGCCAGTGTCGCTTCTCGCTCTCTACGTCTGTTTACATATGAAGGCTTAAAAAAATGTGACAGCCTCATGAAAAACAAGCAAGACTATGTAGCCCGTAGAAACACTTTAAATATAGACTAAACCCACGTATTTATGTACGTGCTATCTATGTCTACGGTGCAAGCACTGGTAATCCTAACGCTCTCGTTTTTCCCATGATAAACCGGTTTTATCTGGCTACGTCTATCCTCCCCCCCCCCGGATAGACGGGTCCTTTGCTCTTCACTTCACTCGTATGTTTAAATGAGGAGACAGTTTAACCCGTCTAGTGCGCGAGGGAACAAGCAAAGTAGGTTACATTTAGTACTTGTGTTCGTGTTGGCAGTCGGCGCAGTCACATCGTGTGATTTTCGGATCTATTAGTATTACACAAATTACTCGTAGTCGTAGTCGTGGAAACAACAAGAACACGAACGCCACTGAAGACGTGGCTGTGTGCATCGCCTCTCGCGTAGGACGGTTACAAGCTGCTAAAGTACGCGTGTGTTCATTAGGCCTAGTATGGAGTCGGCCTGCTGTGTCGCACACGTCAGCAGCGCCTCAGCTACCGCCGTGCGACGTACAGCCAAAGCCTTACGAAGGTATGAGCTACGAGCGAGCCATGTCGGTGAGAAAGAAGCACGTCAGCCCCGGCTACCTCACCTACTACAGGCAGCCGGTGATGATCTGCCAGGGACACATGCAGTACCTGTGGGACACCAGCGGCAAGCGATACCTTGACCTCTTCGGCGGAATCGTCACCGTCAGCGTCGGTCACTGTCAGCCCAAGGTCAAGCAGGCGCTGCGCGACCAGATGGACCTTCTCTGGCACACGACGAACATCTACCTGCACCCGAAGATCCACGAGTACGCCGAGAAGCTGGTGGCGCGTCTCCCCGGCGACCTCAAGGTGTGCTACTTCACGAACAGCGGCTCGGAGGCGAACGAACTCGCCGTGAAAGATGGCGCGCCTGCACACGGCGCGCCACGACGTCGTCGCGCTCCGCAACGCCTACCATGGCGCGAGCCCCTACACCGTCGCTCTCACGGCGAGCAGCAACTGGCAGTACAACCTTCCGCGTACGTCCGCTGTCGTCCACGCCGTCAACCCGTATTTGTCACAGAAATATAACAGCGCGCAGCTAGCTAGAAATGCACGCATGCGCCTAGCTTTGTGGCTAAAAGGCTAGAATGACCGCTTACAATCTTCAAACAATACGAGTTTTTGGAAACTGTGAGTTTTGACAAAAATTCAAGAAAGCTCATTCGAAATTGGAAATCTAAAGTGGATCTGGGAGTAATCCGATCATCAGTGGTGTTTTTCGATCTTTCTTTGGCTAAACAATTAGAATAAAAACGAGTTTCGTTCGTTACAGTTACACTAAAAATTTAGGATGAGCCTTCCGCGGCTCTAGCATGTTTTTGTCTCAAGCGCTTGCTACGCGTGCGTCACCTCGCTGACAAATGAAAGCATTGACATATAAACTTGAAAAACGATAAAAATTCGAGAAACACCCGCAGTTCAAAGGCAAAGCAATCAATAAGAGCACTCGCCAATCGCCAATATTCCCCTACTTTAATGTAGCGAATGACTACATTAACTTCTTTGTTTCTTTTAGTTATAAATGGCTTATTTCTTTATTTTCGTAACAAGCACCAGCGAATCACACACGTTCTTCTAAGACTTCTTTATGCTCTTATTTTCTGCCTAATGTCGTCTTATATAACATAACGATCGAACGAATGTATCTGAACGAACGACCGCACGAACGATTCTGAACGTTTCTGAACGTTTCTGAACGGTTAATCTGAAATCAGCAATCCAATGTGTGACAGTATCTACAAAACTGTTGGCTTCGGCCAGGAACTTCTCTCGATATTTCTTCGATTCGGCAATATCAGCTTGATCGGTTAGCCCCTGGTGGTAGGATGCATGAGCAGCCATAAAGGTTTGCACGGACACTTCAAAGTCGACCTAAAGGTCTTGCACATGAGGCACATTGTCATTGTTCTGCATCAGAGTAATTCCCAGATTTATAAGTCTCGTAGAAGCACCCTTAGCCTTTCCTCGTTTCTTCTTGAGGTCGGTTGTCTCAGCTTCAGCAGCTGCAGCCTGATCCTCGTCACCCGGCATCTCTGGTCGTTGTTGTTGTCGTTGTTGTTGTTGTTGTTGTTATCTCACGATATCACAAAGTCCAGATCGTGATTAACTTTAATGTGGTGAATGACTACATTAACTTCTTTGTTTCTTTTAGTTATAAATGGCTTATTTATTTATTTTCGTAACAAGCACCAGCGGATCACAGATTTAACACCTGTAGGCGGATGGCGGAGACCAGCCAGTGTCTGGCCAGCTCTGGACCAGATGTATTTTGTATGGGATGTATTCATTACATATCATTGTATGATACTGACACAGAGACACGTAAATATTGGGTAATATAGTGTAATGCTGATGCAGCTGCTATTTGCAGCCAGAATGGTTGACAGCTGATGGAATAGTGATGATACGTATCAACTCGTTTTTTGTTGGAATGGATTCAGCATGTATGAAAACATAGAAAATTACACTTTATTCATGTTTACACGACATTTTGTCACAAAGATATGGAATTTTATTGGTGGCCATCTTGGATTATTGTTGCTTAGCAATATTCTACATAATTTTGGATACTTTCATTGTGTTCCTCACATGTGAAAACTTATGTGTAGACACCAAAATCATCGCCCCAGCTTGATTCTATCAAAAGTTATTGCCGATTTCCCATTTGGCCGATTAGGCACGGCGGCCATCTTGGAGTTAAGCAAATTGTTGCATTTTATCAACTCGTTTGTGGTTGGAATAGATTCAGCATGTATGAAAACATAGAAAATGACACTTTATTCATGTTTGCACGAAATTTTGTCACAAAGATATGTCATTTTTAAGATACTCCGGAATTGGATGGTGGCCATCTTGGATTTTGCTATTTGTGGGCCCCAGGGGAAAAATTGAGCTTGGCACGATATCTAAATTTGTTAATTATATATTAAGCAATGTCTGTACCAAATTTGGTGCTTTTACCACAAAATGCACAATCCTTCTGATATTATACACATATCTGCCCCACTAAGACCAATTGTCTCGGAGAGAGCATGCACACACCTCTGATCATCTCCCTTGCTGCTTCACCATCATTGAGTAGCCGTTCTGTACGCGGGTATTGCCAGTATACACAGAGACATCTAATCATTGTGTGATCTTCTCCGTAGATGAGTTACTTCGCTAACACGGCGTCGGCAAACGTCAAAAATACGATAGAAAAGCTGGACGTGCACACGCGTTCACAATTTACTTTCAAATCACGTCGGGAAATTAATTATCGACCGGCTAATGGACGTAATCGGTCGGACGTGGCTAAAAAAAGCTATCCCTGCAATTATTACTCAGCAAATTTCGCACGCCGTTTTCAATGTTAGTTATAACAAAAAGAAAAGCGGTGACAGTATATTATGATTGCATTGTCAACCATATAGTGATTTCACAGGTGAACATGTTCTTATTGTAGTGAATTAATTAATAAAAATCTGACTTGGTGGTTTTAGTTCTCATCATCGTCCGCGAATGAAATTTACCGCTATGGTATAATTCGATACAACCCCGACGTTACTCTGAACAATTTTTATTTCGATTTCTGCACATACACCCCACGCACGCGCACGCACGCCACGCGCACACATATTATATTCATATAATATAGATATATATATAATAACTATAATCAAAATAAGTGGACCTCGTAAAACTGTATATATCAAATCTAGCGTCTACCCCGACGAATATACAACGGACGTATGCTACACCATGTCGACCCAACGTCTCTGTGTTCTCTCATCTTGTAAGCTACGAGCTTTCGAAATTCTGCCCAGCGACAGAACCATGAGTCGAAGCGCTGTTACAGTTGACACCCTCGATCTCTTGCAAAAAAAAAATAAAAAAAAAAAAAGAANATAGATAGAGATAAATACAGGGAGAGAAGGAGAGAGAAAGATAGATAGAGATAAATACAGGGAGAGAAGGAGAGAGAGAAAGATAGATAGATACAAAGAAAGAGAGAGCGTGAGAATGAACGGTGTGGGGAAGCAGAGGGAATGTATGATAAAGAGGCAGATAAACAGAGAGGTAGAAAGACCTGAAAAAGAGGAGAGAATAAAGAGAGAGATAGGTGCGCAAGCAAGAGAGAGAAAGCGATCGAGAGAGAGCGCGAGAGGGAAAGAGAGGGAGCGAGCGAGCGAGAAAAATACAGATAGATAAAGAGAGGGGGAGTGAGAGAACGAGAGAGATAGAGAGAGATAGTGAGTGTGGGAGGGAGAAAGAAGGAGAGAGTTATGAATAGACAGATATATAGATAGATTTAGAGAGCGAAAGGGGAGAGCAAGAGAAAGAGAGAGAGAGAGTGCGCGAGAGAGAAAGCGAGAGAGAGAGAGAGAGAGAGAGAGCGAGCGAGAAGAGAGAGAGAGAGAGAGAGAGAGAGAAGAGAGAGCGAGAAAGATAGAGAA